TAAATAAATAAATAAATTAATTAATAAATAAATAAATAAATAAATAAATAAATAAATAAATAAATTAAATAAATAAATAATGAATGAATGAATGAATGTAGAATAAATGAATGAATGATTGGTTGATTAAATAAATAAATAAATAGATAAACAAATAAATAAATAAAATAAATAAATAAATAAATAAATAAATAAGAAATATATGAATAAATGAACAATGAATGAATGAAATAAAAAAATGAATAAATGAATGATTGGTAGATTGATTCAATGAATGAATGAATGAATGAATGAATGAATGAATGAATAGAATGAATGAGATATCATTGTTTTTTTAATCATATGCAAGTATATGTTTTATATTATGTTATAGCCTTTTTTATATATCAATATTATATTATTTATCAATAATTATCAACGTCAAAATTTAAGTTGCTGTGTGACAATCCCGATTTCATCTTCGTGATTCACAATTATTTTAACTTTCATTTGAATTCAACTTCACAGATTCACGATCTTTATTATAATGGAGATTCATTGTTTTGAACAGTCACAGAGTTGTCAACTTTAGCATTTTCTCATGTTTGGCTTATCATTATAAATATTATAATGATAATGATAAGGAAATTACAAAATAACATAGATTCACCATAGATGCAAAATGCAAAACAGCTACGTATCTAATCGCAATCGCAACTTGTAAAGTATTCGCTATCTTATCTGCGGGTGTATGCTAAAAAGCAAACCTAGAATACTGCGTCTGCATGTTACAGGTGGATGTCCTTACACGTTCTGTGCGTGCACTGACGATATTATTTGTACGCAATTGACGCGTTAATAACTCCAGGAAAATGTTGCACTGTGATTAATTGTCAAATGTTCTGACAAAATATATGATCAGACTATTTATTTACTCTTACAGAAAATAGGCTATTCAGAAGTAAATTTTCATTCGCTATTTCTATATGCAGAAATCCGTATTTGCACGAATACGGAATTTCGTATTTTAGTAATATACGGACTTGTTATAAAAAATTCGTATATTAGTAAAATACGGACTTCGTACATCAAAGTTCCCGGTATATTACGAGTGTACGGAGTTCGTATACTAGTCATGTACGGAACTGATATAATATACGGTCCCGTACATCTTCCGTATTTCAAGTTTTCCCGTATTCTTACACGTATATTAATGATATACGGAATTCCGTACACTTCCGTATATCCATGTCTTTTTCGCAGTGTATTCTATGTAACAACTCCTTTCTTGAATCGACAATAACGTTTTGGAAACAATACAATTTACTGTTGATAATGGTTAAAAATATGTCATAAGCTATAGCTTCATATATTTTAATATCAGTTTCTGAAACAATACATTATTGCTATCTCTGTCAATATGACAATAATATATGTCCTAACGTTTATAAGGACCAGATGCTACCTGTCAAAGAAAGCATTGTAAATGTATCATGTTTGTTTGTGTGATAGATATGCAAAGAGATCCTTTTCAAGAAAATAATTATCTGAAGCAAAACTTGTATTTAAGTTATTAAAACTGGTAATATGTCTTTGCATGGTATTACTTTACTTGATAATTGCTATTACCAATTAACGACCGACGGTTCATCTACCTCCTCGACCCTGGACAGGTATTTAGCGATATTGATATTTTGATTAGTTCGATTGTGTAGGAAACAGAAACTTATAACATCAAACTCCCGAATTCGTTTATGGCCTAGCAGTGTAAATTTTCTTACTCATTGAAACAGCGTCTTGTCCCTGACAGGGTTTGAACCAACGCGGCTTACAAGCCCAACGCGTTATCCACGAATCTTAATTGTTTTTCTATTATCCAGTAGTTACTTTGTTTCATAAATAGTATTTAATAAACCTGCTACCGCTTCCTTGCCTAGAAAATAAAGAGATATATATTTTATGTCTCGAGAAATCTTAATTGCAGTATGTACCTGTCTCGTTTTACAGTTATTTTACTTCCCATTATTTACTGTAGCAGTTTTTCAATTTATATAATTATTCTTATGCTACTTTGAGCTTGTATCTAGAAAAAAAAATTATTAAACTATTAAGCCAATGCATGTGAAATATTCTATTAAATTCAACCAAGAACTATCTTCTCGTTTTTGGTTTCTTGGGTTCTTGGGTTTTACGTCGTAACAACACTGTATTAGTCTTATGGCGACTCCAGTTTTAAAGCAGCATACCTCCCGTTTCATTCTTATTTTCTTTTAAATCTTTAAAAATGTTGAATATTAGCTCTTGCTTTGCAAAGCTGTGCACGGATGTTCTAATCCTTTTGAGTGTCAAGTTTTATTCCCCCCCCACACACGCTTACATATCTAAATCTATTAATAAGTCTTGAAATAAGAAAGTCTTATATACAACGTGGACCAATGCTCTGCGTAAAAATACAATATTTTAGATTAAAACAAATAATTGGCGTCAACTTACCTTAATGTTATATGTTCATTTTCAAGACCGATGATATTGTTTTCAATAACCATTGTTTACATTTTGCTGATCACATAATGACGTATTTGGGCGGGAGCTAAATATAGCCCGGATAAACAGGTGCGGTTTAAGTGAAATTGTACCAAAGCTCGGCGTACTGTACAAAGTGGTCCAGGTTTGGTTTTCTAAATATTTTCCAATGTGATGAAAAATACATATTTAATAAATTGTAACAAGCAATTTAGTTAATAAATTTATTTTTACTTTAGTTTTTGCGCATTTTACAACCCCTGTATGCATGTCTCATAAACTTTCAAATATTGTTTTCTTTTCAACCTTTTTTCGAAACATAACACGGACATTACACATATAACTAAGTTTGAACATATAATATCAATGTAACCAACAGTTCATTAAGATATAAAATGTATTTTTCCAAATAAAACAATCAGTATCAAAGTCTTATCAGAATCATGTCAGACTGTGTAAATCTGTTATCATATCTATTCCTCTGTTTTTCGACAGGTATTACATAGCCACAAAGTTTCACAAACAAGACTTATATCTACGTCTGTCTGTTCAGAGAAAGGAAGGCATCCATAGTGATACCAGGTATCACACCTATCACATCCAACCCAGTACAACTGTCTGCTGGTCATACAAATTCCACAGACGCCATCGTCGGACATAGGATCAGCCACCACTGCTGTACCAGAGACACACTCGGGCAAGGGAGATAAAGGAGTGGATTTTAACTGGCTTTCAGCAGATTTAACTTTCGTTAAATGACCTTCAGACTTTTTTGTATGTTTAGATTCAACAACCCTTGCCTTATCATATGTGGTTCTGCGTTTTTTGGAAGGCTCTAGTGCTGGTGGTTCTAGAAAAACTTTAGCAAGACTTTCGGGTACCATCCCGATTTTAACAAGCATATTCGGAACATGGCCTGAAACTGGTGCATCTTTTGACACATCAGTAGTGCTAGATGTGGACTGAACATTTTTTATTTTTTTACAGGACCTGCTAAAGCCTTAACAGAAGACTTGTTATAGGAGTATATTCCTGTGGCAGAAAAAGAAGCAGAAACAGTTGCAGGCGTAATCCTGTTCATAGCCTGGTGCAAAACCTTTGGAAACAAATGCCGAGGCAGAGATCTAGTGACAGCATAACCAAGGCCTGACAAAATTTCACTTACCTTTGCTTTCAAAACATGAAAATACCCCACATCTAAAGGTTGCAGTAAGTGGGATGAATGGGAAGGGAAATACAGGAGATCAATACCATTCTCCATAGCTAGGTTTACTACCCTACCTGACACATGGGATAAGTGGTTGTCCATGATTTGCAAACAAGGTCGTCTTTTTCCACAGAACTGGAGAAATATTTGCTCAAACCACAGGCAAAAGAGATCTGTGTTAATGAAACCAGAATCTTGTGGTCTCGAACAACCTGTTATCAGGTAACCCATCAGAGAAGGAGGCCCTGGGCAGATTTTTAGAAAAAAAATGATTAATGGTGGCAGTGTCCGGCCAGAAGCTGATACTGCAAAATTTACAGTGACATGGCCAGACAAGGACAACTGTACTTTAAAAGCTTGTCTTACACCTTTCTTGGCTACAACAGACTTATCAGAACTTGAAAAACTACCACTACAACCCGTTTCATCACAATTAAAAATACGCGTGGGATCATCATAGAGAGACAAACGTTTCAGGGTATTATCTAACAATTCAAAGTACTGGTTTAACTGTTCATAAGTGATAGAAGCTCTAGCTCTATCAAGGCTGTGAGCATTTCTAATCGAAAGTTCTGGGTGTCTTTTGAAGAATTTCCTCATCCATTTGTTTGAAGGTCCTTTCTGGGTGTTTATAACAGTATTTCGACCTGAGGCCATAATTACTTCTCTTGTGAACCATTTTCTTTGACAGAGGAAATCCTCTTTCAGACATGTAAAGTATATAGGAAACAAGTGTTGCTTCCTCCTCTGATGTTATTATTGGTGTACGTCCAAAAGAAGTATCTAACCCTCTGTAACGCCCTCTGGTATGGTCCTTCAGTGTGGATTGAGGAATTCCATACAAGTGGGACAGACAGAGTCCACCCACTCTAGTAATGTTATATATGTATCATACATATAAGTGCGTTTGCAACAGATAGTATAACGAAAATTATATATTATTATATTATGCGTTGTAAAAATTTTCTTTATAATTTATTTGTTAATTTTATCCACAAAGTTTTAGCACTATATAACAAAATAGAACTCCGCTAGTCGGATGTGCCGCCTTATGAACGATATAGTTTAGGAGAAATCACTGCGAAAAATATACTGATATACGGGAATATACGGTCCCGTATTTTTGACATATACGGGCGTGTACGGGATGTATTTGTCGAATATACGGCCAAGTATACGAGTCCGTATAGGGAACACCGGGTATACGGGAAGTCCGTATATGCATCAGGCATATACGGAATTCTGTATTTGCACCATATACATTTACGTATATTTGTTCGTATGTTTGAAGTATACGGAGAATAAAATCCCGTATACGGACTTTATCAAGGTTTTTATCCCTAGTATACTATAAATTTACAAAGGATATACGGGACCGTATTTTCTACGTATACAGAGGATATACGGACTCGTATTTTCTACGTATACAAAGGATATACGGAACCGTATATTCCACATATACAGATGATATACGGAATCGTATTTTCCACATATACAGATGATATACGGAATCGTATTTTCTACATATACAGAAGATATACGGAATCGTATTTTCTACATATACAGGGGATATACGGAATCGTATTTTCAATATATACAGGGGATATACGGAATTGCATTTTTTAGTTGTACACAGGGTATACAGAACTGTATTTTCGAGATAAAAGAAGGTACAGATACTATCAAAAGCATGCATTTACATATAAGTGACACGTATACATGACCGAAATGCAGGCTTGTACAATAGAACATGTTTGATTACACATTGTGAATGGGAATTGTAGTCATATGCTTTAGAACTTTATCTTCAAAATTGGTGTATTTCAAATAGTAAAGTAAAAACCAAATCGAGTCACTCTTAAATATTTATTATTTCATAAACATATATTCAATATGTATACATATATATAACAAAATAAACATGTCTTCTCTATTATTTCGTTACAATAGTCATATATTGTTGTAAGCTTTATCCCAGAGGGACACATTAATGTAGCGTTGCAACGGAAAGGCGATATACCGGTATGTTGCGATACAGAGTCATGAAATACGTATCACAGTGCAGAACATCCGCACCGCGATATTTTCTTCAGAGATCGAATTATACATGTACATTTTTCGATATTTTCAAGCCGTAACCTTTATGAATTGCATGTTGTTTAAATCTAGGACAAACTATGCTAACTTGAAGTTCTTTTCGATTTATCTTAACAATGATTCATATGAGGCACTTATATTACACCCATAAAACATTTTAAAGATATTCATATCATTTGTTCGTGTTAACATTCACATATTATTTTAGGAAAATGAGTTCATAGCACAAATTGATAATTACAGAAAGTTTTAATAATAATCATTAAAATTAAAAATCTGTATTCTCAGAAATTCGTCATTCAAACACTGTTCTTAAAAGCACTTAAATATATCATCTATAGGAATGATACGTAGACCAGTGTGACGGTGTCTATTTCGTGACGTAGGAAATGTTTTCTCCAGATATTGCAATCTTCTTCGGCATGTGTGTATCTGAAAAAAAAAGAGTTTAAAATCCTGTTTAAATAATGTCATGAAATAGTTATCACAACTTTCAAAAAGACTATACACAAGCATTTTTTTTAAGCGTATACATATATACATTTTTTTTCTTACGCAAATTTAAAAATTATTTTATATTATTAGGATAAAGATGTCATTTATAAGCAGCCATTTACACAGGATTTAAATGAAATGATTAATCTATGACGGATGATAAGTTATATGTTTTTGTTATGAAACTTTTACGAATATATATATTTCACACTTGTAATATAAATTATAATGGTATCTTTGTTCTATGTAAAGAGTATTTTATTGATTAAAAATATACTTAAACAAAATAACATTGCATTGGGAAAAAGTGCTGACATAATCGTTTTGATCGTTTTACGATGTATATTAGCATCGTTAGTAAGAGTCAATTCGTTTGAAAAAAAAGGTTTAAAATGTACAGATATTTGCTACTCAGATGTAGATCCGTGTTTGCATAATGATATCCAGTTAAGTAAAAGGCAGAATACCCAGCTATACTTCTCATTTATATAAAAACGTAAATCTTAACAAATTTGGATTATTGTTTGTTTCAGTTTCAATTGTTTCAAAAACTATCTCATCACAACTTCACAGCAACGAATGAATACCTTCAATATACAATAGTGTAGATTAATATTTTTTATTGTTAAGACTGTCTAACTAGGTAAGTTGACAATAGAATCTCTTACAGTGTGCCATCACTAAAAATAAAGTGATAATTCTCACAAAAATTTTTAATCAAAATGTTCTCCCTTGCCTATAGCATTAATCTGATAGTATGAAGTCAAATTCAGATAATAAAATATACGTATCATATGTGACAATTGCATAAATAACATAGGAAATATTTAAGTTAATACATGCGAATGCGACAGTATTACGTGCGCACGTGAAACATTTACGTATCAACGCCATATGTTTCACGTGCGCACAAGTACTGTGCATTTAGTATAATAATTAAGTGACGAGGTGGTCAAGTCCACTATCCAGGTGTAAACCAGCTATCATATTGTGTTTATTATCTTCAAATAGGCTAGCTATATAAATTAAATTATCAACAAATTTACCAACTCTCAGCGTAATGCAGTGGGTAAGGTTGTGGTAAATATCAATGCAAGACAGCTATGCTCGGATTGCACCTTTTTCCCAAAAATATTGCTTTATAATTATCAATCAAGTAAGAAAGTTTTGTATCAATTATTGTTAAGATTATAAATGCTGTGCTATTTTCTATTAACTTCTCATTTTGTTTTAAATGTAGATATATTTATCCCTATTTAGCAAGTTGGTGCAAACTTATACGGAATGCATCGCCATGATACTGTACTTAGACTGTTTCAACTATAATAGTTAAGTTTGCACGAAATACTCCTGCACTGCAAAAGTACTATGACTACTACATACTACATACTATACAGGATAAAAATCACTATCATCCCTGCATGTATGTCCAAATTATTAAATATCCACTATTTAGCCAAAAATACCTTTTTCTATCCCAAACTTCATTTTTCAAGGGTAAAATTAAAAAAAAAAAAAATTTTTGGGGAAAAAAAACGCAAAAAAAATTTTGAGACAAACTTGTGAAGGCTTGAACTCGTTGGGAATTTAAAAATTTAATGTGTTTTTGACTTTCCCCGGGAATTGATTTTTTTTTAACTTTGTTCAAGAAATTTCAAATTTTTTGTTTTTTATTTTTTAAAATTATATTCCCTTTCGAAAACCCTTTTTTTTAACCTTTTAAAGGAAAAGGTTGTTTAATTTTATTTTGTTACATGCACAAAAAAGAAAATTTTAAAATTTTTAAATCTTTTCACATTTCAAAAAAGCGCCCGGTATTTTTAAATTGGGGCTTTACCCCCACTTTAGTAAAAAACAAATCCCCAATTTTCATTAAAGGGAAAATTAAAATTTTAAATTTAAAATTTTGATAAAGGGAAAATTAAAAAATTTTTTTTTTTTGTTTACAAAAGAAATTTTATGTTTAAGAAAAGAAAACTAATTTAATAAAATAAAGTCGCATGCACAGTGCATCTATATCAAACAATTGTGTGTGTTCAAGTTGTTTCTTATATTTTATATATTTGATTTTTGCATATTAAAAGCAAGGATGTTTGAGCATTTTCAAATGCGCTGCAAAATGTTTATATGCCTTAATTGACATCATTTTATGAAGTGTGACATCATTCCGCCAACAAGATATAAAAGAGAACCAATGTATTTATAACTAACCACATTTTCATGTCAAAATAAATGCGTGTAATTTGACTTTGCCTTGAGAAAGAATAAAACACATGATGTCAGTACGGATGGGAATATATGAGTCTGGGTAACTCTTCTTTACAGACAGTACGTCCGTGTAATTGTCTTATTTTATTCACAAAATACAACAATGCATATACGTGAACTTACATCTATATTACTTGCTACCATATTTTGCTTCATCTATAATTGCTGTAAAGAGGGCACAGCTGCATTTCTGAAAGATTTAAACACGCTGTACACTTTCCTGAAAAAGGATAATAAATATAACTTCAGCATAAACTGATAAAGAGCACATTGAAAATATTTCATAAGTGGTCACATATGCGAAAGTGTTAATACTGTAGGAACGTGTTCACTTTTATGTGCATGTGTAGTTATGTATGTTTGTGTGTTCGTGCGTGCGTGTGTTACCATATCGCTTTATGTAAAATATAAGTCAAAATATGGAATATCGAAAAATTTGTGATGTACAAAGGCTCTATACAGTTTTTCAAGCGTTTAAATTTATGTATAACAAAATAATATTAAATAACTGTTTCCTCAAACAGGCGCGTGTTTGTGACTGACCCATGCGATATCACCTTATGCGTAATGTTTATCTTAAAAACTAAACAAAGTGTTTTAATTATAATAAGAAAAAAATATTTAAATTTTAACTTGTCCAATAAAAAATCCAATGTAAATGTTGAAAACTCAGTTCATGTATATACAATTTAAAATCTGGGTTATCCTGAACAACGTAGATAAATAACCAAGAATATCGAATGAAAAAAAAAAGTTGTCCGTCCTGAATTGCGAGTAAACTCGATCTTGCTAATTATTATTTATGCTAAAACAATACAAACAAAACCGTTTTAAAACTTCTGGTTCGTTGCTATATTTTATATTCACGAGTTTTAAAATTCTTACACCGACACTAAGCTTCGTATCAATGTAAAAATAAGCATATCTTTTGACACCAAGGGTAAGTGAATTAACAGTTAACTGTTAAACGTAACACCTGTCGGCCATATAACATGCAATCATACAGATATTTATCTGTCATTCTTTGTATTAATGTAAATAAAAAATTCTGACAAATATTTTCATTTTTTTCATTCATCTAAATGTATAATGATTTAAATGAAAAAATAAATATTTGTTTGCTATTTTTATTTCAGATTTGTATTCATTTATATATAGTTAATATAAATAAGAAATATATAGAAACATGTGTACAGCAAACTTTAAAAAAGTGAATAAAAATGAAAAGAGCGGAGTCTTTAAAGTGACTTATATTTGCATCAAATGATGGGGATTTGTATAAAAATAAAAACTGCGAATATAAAACAAGTATTCTGCTCGTTGAATTATCAAGACTGAGAAAGACGATTTTATCTAAAATTTATAATTAAACATATTTTTTAGAAGTACTAAGCAATTTTCTTTTAAAATATGTTAATCTGTTAAATCTCATAATTTTTGTTATTATATTGAATAGATAAAAAAATTAACCTATTTTTCGGCTATCAATATAATAATAGTACAATATAATAAAGTACTATTAAAACAAATAGAATATGAGTGTGTCTTTTCGATATGATCTTCCAGCTTGCTTGATTGCACATTGACTCGCACCCCTGATTTTAAGTGATAATTGAGATCGCTCAAGATTATAAAGTCCAATCAGTTGACCAATCAAGCATACATAGGTCGTGTCACACACACTGATTAATCCATTTGTACTTCTTTTTACCATGTCCAGGGGCTGTAATACCTTGACATCTTCGATGTTTAAATGTCGTAATTTTTAACGTGTCTTTTTTTACCCAAAAGGGAAGTTATGATTAACGTATTTCAGAAATGCCCTTTTCATTTTGTTGTTTTTGCATTTTTCAAACAACAAGATACAGTTTAGAAATCAAAATCAAACTCGTAACCTCCCAGTCTAAATTTAGGGATATATCCCTGCTTTAATTATCTAATCCGGCGGCCATATTGGATAGCGAAACAGATTAAAAAGTGTTAAAGTTTTCTAAAAACAAATCAGTTTAACCCTGAAATAAGCTGTTGTTCACAAAATGCAACAATTCTATTGATCGCATATTGATATTACAACGATAAAAAATAACTTTTAACCTACCTTGTTTTGCAATATTCTGAATTTTATTAACCATCCATTTCCAATCGCGTTTTTTTCTTTTTTCATTTCGCCCGCGCTATTTCTGATTGGTTGATAGGATACACGTGATATAAAACCAACGCTTCAAACTCATTGGCTGTTGATATGCCTGGATACCGTTTGTGTAATTAAGCATTTAGCATTAATAATTCCACGGATTTATATTATTGTCCGTGATAACCAGCATACTAAGTCAAAATAATGCAATATTAAATAGGATATATCATGTATCCATAAACGATAATTTGCATACATGTATAACATAACCATTGATACTTTTACAGGCAAAACTTTGATTCTAATTTAACATTATTTAATCGGTTATTTATTTTTTTAATAATAATAATAATAATAGTAATAATAATAAATAAATAAATAAATAAATAAATAAATAAATAAATAAATAAATAAATAAATAAATAAATAAATAAATAAATAAATAAATTATAATAGTAAAATTTATCATATATTTTAGTTAGACAACTATAATTAAATAAATGTATGTGTGTTTTAAAAAATAATACATATGATGATGATAATGATGATGATGATGATGATGTTTATGATGATAATAATAATAATAATAATAATAATAATAATAATAATAATAATAATAATATTTATGATGATAATAAAAGACGTTTTAGAAGCGCTAAGAAATATTCATAAATTACACAAATTTTTGTTACAACAACAATAAGCGGGTAAAGCATGAAAATAAAAATAAAAAAAAAACTTCTCAAGAGCATGTACTTTTATATTTCTTTTCTTTCTTAGTCGAATTGTCAAAATTCTAAAATATTAAATTGCTTTAATAAAGGATTGATAATTAATAGTAAAATTTATCATATATTTTAGTTTGACAACTGTAATTAAATAAATGTATGTGTGTTGAAAGCTCAGTACTTATATTAAAAAATAACTTTTTATTCATTATCTGCTCTAATGGAATAACTGTTCTGTTTGGGACTTTATTCATAGTATGTCCCAGTTTCTATTATGCAGTAGACACGTTATTTCATTCAAATAGGCTTTAAAGCCGATGAGGACACAAAACATACAAAATAACCAAAAGTGTATGACATCAACATATATACATTATATCAACAATCATCAAACGTTTGGAGATGATCGATTTGATTGATAAAGAAACTACCTGCCAAATTTTTCATGTAGGTACACATATAATATCAAAATTAATATATAACTTACAAGTCTCTTACCAGGTACATTACACTCAACGTTATTTCTCTTAAGAACAAAAAACTCTTCAGTATCACAATTTTGACTGATATGATTTACACACTGCTAAAGAATGTTGACGTATAGCAGGGTCTTTCAAATAGATTCTATTTGAAAGACCCTGCGTATAATAATAATTTAATTGTGTCTTGTTTAAATGACGAATTCCGCCAGATAAAAGGATAACAACAACACGACGCTGCAAAAACATTTGAAAGAATACAGCAGCTATGTCTGTTTCATTTTAATATGTCAGGTTAGAGTCTTTATAATATCTGGAACAAAATCACATAGAGACTTGGTTATGAGATCACAATTTAATTCCTTTATTTCGTACATGAATTATATTAGAAATTAACAGTAAAAATTACCGTTAAGACATTCAACATCAATTGCGCTAACTTACGTAATCGGAGAAAACCGAAACTCGTTATACCCTGCTGCGTTTATGATCAATATCCGGATCAATATCCGGCTTAATCAGTATTGGCTTCGATTATCGCAATACAGCACGTGGCTATTACACAATATTATGTCATAAATAAGACCGCGCGAAAAGAATCAAAATTGGGGAATTCGGAACTTCATAAGATTTCTATTCAAAACGTGTGTACAAAAACGCAAATCTTTATGTTTCCTGAAATAAAAGATTAAATAAATAAATAAATAAATAAATAAATAAATAAATAAATAAAAAATAATAAGTAAATAAATATAAGAATAAATGAGTGATGAATGAATGAATGAATGAATGTATGAATAAATGAATGAATGATTGGTTGATTGATTGATTCAATGAATGAATGAATGATGGACGGCTGGATGGATGAATGAATGAATGAATGAATGAATGAATGATGGATGGATGGATGGATGAATGAATGAATGAATGAATGATGAATGATGAATGAATGAATGAATGAATGAATGAATGAATGAATGAATGAGATATCATTGTTGATTTTTTTTACATATGCAAGTACATGTATTATATTATGTATAGCCTATTTTTTGTAGGACATATATCAACGTAAAATTTAAATGTTGTGTGGACAATCCCGATTTCATCTTCGTGATTTCACATTTATTTTAACTTTCACGATTTCAACTAAACAGTTTCACGATTTTAATATAATTAATTCATGTTTTGAACATCACAATTTCAACTTTATCGTTTTCTCATGTTTGGCTCATCATTATAAAATATTATAATGAAAATGAAAATAAATTACAAAATAACTTGATTCACAATAGATGCAAAATACAAAAAAGTACTATCTAATCGTCAATCGCAATGGTAAAGTATTCGCTATTTATCTGCGGATGTATGCTAAAAAGCAAACACAGCGGTATTGAGCTAGAATACCGCGTCTGCATGCTACAGGTGGATGTCTTACACGTTCTGTGCACTGACGGTATCATACGCTATTTCTATATACAGAATCCGTATTTGCACGAATACGGAATTTCGTATTTTAGTAATATACGGACTTGTCATAAAATTCCGTATATTAGTAAAATACGGACTTCGTACAACAAATTTCCCGTATATTACGAGTGTACGGAGTTCGTATACTGGTCATATACGGACTGATATAATATACGATCCCGTACATCTCCGTATTTCAAGTTTCCCGTATTCTTACACGTATATTAATGATATACGGAATTCCGTACACTTCCGTATATCCATGTCTTTTTCGCAGTGAATGGCCAGGACACAAATACAATATGAAAATAAACAAAGGGCAATAACTCAAAAAATTAGAAGTGCAGAGCAGCAGTTTCTGTGCACTGCACTTCTTATTATATGATCTATTATCCTATGAAGTTTCAAGTCTATAGCTTTTATAATTTATGAGGAATGGCCAGGACAAAAATAAAGTATGAAAATTAATAAAGGGTAATAACTCAAAAATAAGAAGTGCAGAGTACCGGTTCTTGTACACTGCACTTTTTCTTAATGAGATCTATCATCCTATGAAGTTTTAAGACCATAGCTTGATACTTTAGGAGAAATGGCCTGGACAAAAATAAAGTATGAAAATTAACAAAGGGCAATAATTAAAAAAAAAAGAAAAAAAAAAAAAATGCAGAATATCGGTTCTTGTGTATTGCATTTTTTATAATGAGATGCACTGCACTTCGGGTCATTATTAGAGGCAAGATACCAATTTTGAAGGCAATCCATCTTATAATGACTGACTTATGCTCCGGACAAGCTTAAGGGGACGCCGACAACGACGCCGCTGACAAATGTAACCCCTATATGTCGCCATTTATAAGGCGACACAAAAATACAGAATATTAAACGGACGAATTAAACTTATATATAACAAACATTTACAGCTATGATGCTGTTTGATCAATTTGCAATAGTAAAAAATTTATGTTATGTAATATGAGTCAGCAAAATATTAAACAGGAAACATAATATACAAAAAATATAATTTGCTGTTCAGAATCCTTTAAAATGTCGAAACGATAAAATTGAAAAATAGTTAGTTAACATAATAATGGTGGAAAATTGAAGCAAGAGCAGATCTTTACTGTACATTATAGTAACAGTTATTATTTGAAACCCTTATATGTACAAATAACTTTCTGAAACATTTCTACAGGTTGCTTTTCCCACACTAACCTACATATCATTTTATTAGGCTTATCGCCGGCGTTAATAATTCAGAATTAAAAGTACATTTCAATCGTTTAACTAAGATTGTTATTTATGAAACTGACATAAAGATGTAATAAAAAACAACAACATGAAATACTTTGATGTTTAGTTGCTGAAAGATTTCATCAGCTTGATAACATTTAAAAGCGAGCTGTTTTCTGTCTTTTAAGCTGCTATCAAAACTCTTTTTAGGCTTTTTAATCATTATTGCTAAAATGGGATGTCTAAATCTGGACTTGTCAGATTTGTGGCCTGCAGTGTATTCACTATTTTGCCTTACGTCAATGTATAACATTTAAAACAGCATCTCATTTGCATTATCCACGCTTTCATTTGTAGATTCTTTGTCAATCATTTTTAACATGTCAATTTACTATTTAATTCATAGCGATTGTCTATTTATCCCAATACTAACTCAAGATCTGTTTGATATATTAATATATTCGGTTTATGATGTTTTTATGTTGCTGATGAGAACAGTTTACATAAAAATCAAATAAGAAACCTAAAATATGTCTGCAAGGAAAACTATATTGGATTTTCTTGAATATTGTCCCTTTGTTGCAACATAAGGAAATACTTTTTAATGGGGAAAAATGTTAAATATTAACGAAGGCTCAGAGACACGTCAGATGATACCTTTTCCTCAATACTTTTCTATTTTGATGTATTCCGTAACGAGGGGATGGGTTTGTGTGCACTTAAACTGGTTTATCATTTGAATACTCTGCCCACATCACGAATTAAATATCCCTTCTTTTTTTAAAAATAATTAATATGTTCTTGCAGTCACTCCAGTTTCCAGTTCAATCTGTGTTTTAATATATATTGATGTACATAATCATCTACTTCTTGGACAATATGAATTATCTTATATGAATTACTGGTGTCTTTAATTAGTCTATACGGAGCATTAGACGCTGTTTGACACAGGAAATTTCGTGACAAGGTAAAGTGCGTGTTTAATAACCTTTATAATATCTTAACGTCAAGATTGTCCTTGATATCCGCTATGATAAAATGTATTCAATCCTACTGACACACGAGAGTACGAATCTTTACAAGGAAATAGTCTGAATTTACGTTGATAAGTATTGTTTTAAACGGGAAAAACGCCGTTTTTTAATACAAGCTATTCGTTTTAGAC